TTTTGGGGTATTTTTTTTTTTTTTTTAGAAAAAGTCTCACTATATAGACTGCCTTTGAACTCACTTTGGAGCTCAGGCTGGCCTCAAACTGGCAGCAATCCTCCTGCCTCAGCCTCCTGAGTGCTGAGATTACAGGCATGTACCACCACGCCCGGCTGAATGGTGATTAAAATTTAAATCACCAGGGTACTGACAGAACTGATTCTTTAAGGTAATAAAAGGGTATATTTGCATTCAATGAGTAAGAAAATTACAGCAAACCAGTAACAATTATAGAATCCAGAAAATAAATTCATTTGGGCAAAAGACACCTCAAAGAGAAAATGAGTATATAGATTTTAGACAATCTGGAGTTGGAATGTTACAATCTGAGCTTGAAATTTGGATGGGTACTGAAAAGTGCCCTTCTGCTGGCCCACAGTACTAAATGTCTTACATGTCTATGGGTCCCCTCCTCCACCCAGAGAAATGGACAGAATATGCAGATGCTGGCACCAGGAGGCAGGCCCAATTTCATTCCCGGGAAAGGATAGAACTAGCCTGAGAGTGTCTACTGTTGTACTGTATTCTTGCCCAAGCTCTTCCTTGTTAGAAAGACCCCAATACACTGTGTGTGGAGAGATAGATACCAACAGGCAGATGTATCCTCCATTAACCTAATTAACCTAAATTGTTTGTATGTCTGGCTGGTCGTAACTTGAGGGTCTACTGTATCTCACTACCCTCAGGGTTCAATTCCAGTACTGAAAAAAATTTTTCCATAGTTCATTAGCTATCAAGAATATATTGTTGGGCCGGGGATTTAGCTCAGTGGTTCCGCCACCTACCTCGAAAGGGGAAGGACCCGAGTTTGATCCTCAATACCAAAAAAAAAAAAAAGAATATATTATGATTTACAGTACTAACAGGGGGTCATACATTAAATCTTTGATAATATGAATAGTTGTATTATTTCATTTGAGCATTTCATTTATTTCACATATTTTGATAGCTCTCATGTGGGTAAAAATAGCTATTATTGCAATGCTCAGTAAAAACTACATAAATAAAAAAACTACATAAATAATATAGTCTTCAGTTACTATACTTGCTTCTAAAATTTTTAATTAATACTTGTTCCTGAAGCAATTTCAGTGGACAAATTATATGAATTTTTATTATAATTGCATGAATTAGACTAAAATAAATGAATAATACTAAAAATGCAATAATTTAAAAACTCAACAGTTTTTTATAATTCCTTCTTATACTTCTGTCTTCACTGAAGAGAAAAAGTTTTGCAGTGAAACAAAAGTCAAGATAATTTTTCATAAATAGTTATTTCTGTGTTAAAGAAGCTATACTGTTTCAACAAATAGGTATCTTGAATTTATTTATTCTTGCCTATTAACTGTTATTCAGTTTTTGGGGAAGATATTAGTAAGATTATAAGTAGGAGTAAGAGGGGAAGGAAAAATAGCTATGCCAAACACAAATCCTGGTTGATTATTTTTAGGAGCTCAAGAAAAAGATTTTTTTGATATTTTAGGATAAGGTTCTTTCGCAGAGTATTCATACAGGGAACACTGAATTCTAATAACACTACGTTTTAACACATACAATAATAGCCTGTACATTATCAAAGCAAAGATAGAATAATAACCTATTATGTATTTACTTCTGAACTTGATGTTCAGCTTTTTTTCATCAATTTAACTCATAATTTACTAAAGGCTTTAAACATATGCTTGCCTCAGATTAAGTTTATGTGAAATGCAAAGTCTGAAATAAGACTTTCATTAAAGTTGAACACAAGTATGCAACATCTCTGATCTTGCTATATGAAATCACACACACACACACACACAAATCTAGGGAGATTTAAAGTAAGCACTTCCTTTAGGCTGCAATACGCAAAGGTGAAATGCACAGAAAGATATCAACCACCTTTGAAGTGTAATTTTTTAGTTTTAAAAACAACTTTTCAATGGATCTTACAGCTGAGCAAAGATGTACTTAAAATGAACATTTTTTAATTATTTCAAGTTGTTTACAAAAACATTCAGACAAAGCCTAATTCTATTTTTCAAAAAAAATTTGCACTACCCAGTTTAACTGGTATTTATCTGGTTCTTTTTATATAAGCACGCACATACTTATTAAACATACAAATTTCTCTTCCTTTACTATTATACAGCAGGAATTGGAATCCTCACCATAGATGATCATTCAAAGAAACATACATAGCAAAATAGATCTTCCTATATGGTATTTTGGCACTAACCTTATGAGGTAATCCTGTGGATTACCTCTCCCTAGCACAAATTCACCTTCAATCTGTTCCATTTTCAATGATCTGCCAGCCTCTTTGAGTGGAAAAGTACTTCCCTGACTTAAATTCCTCTTAGGATTCTCCTGAGTGAAATCTTTAGGGTTACTCTCATTTCTTCATTAATTAATTCCACAGGTATTTGTAGAGTGCCTCCTATGGTCTGGGATATATTTTCAGAGGATAAGGATAAGACATGATCCCTTAAATTCAAGCCCCTCTAACTCTGGTATGGTAAATGAAAAACTGAGACAATGTTATGGGCCTTGCCCTACCTAACAATCTAATGGGAGCTTCAGAAGAGGATTATTTCTACTTGTCCAGTCAGGAATGTTTTCCTGAGGTGAGGATATCTGAGTATGTGCAGTTAACAATTACTGGATCGAGTAGGGGAAGGGGAGATTTCCAAACAGGAACCTTGAGCAAAATCTCAACAACTTGGGGAATTCTGAGACAGTTTTTTATTGCTAAAGAGGATGATTGGGAAGAAGCAATTTTCTATCATTATGTAAAGAAATTTATAGCAACTGTGATTACTTTTTCAAAAATTAACTATTCAATCAGCAGGCTATAGAGTGGGTAGTTTAGTACCGAATGAGAGGAACATCAAGTCTAATTGTTTCTCAAAGTTGTCAGTATTTCAGTGACTTAACCCCATTTAAGTTTATTTCTTGCTTATGCAGATTCTACTGTGGATCCTGGGACTCTCCAGGGAGCTCTGTTCAGAGTAATAGTTTAGCATTCCAGGATCCTTGGTCTTGTGCCACCTCCCATCTTTTTTTTTCTTAAAAGGAAATTTTTTTTAAAAGTTGGGCCAGGGACTTAGCTCAGTGGTTTTGCTGCCTGCTGCACAAGTGCAAGGAACAGAGTTCGATCCCTGGTACCAAAAAAAAAAAAGTTAATTTACTTTCTCTCAATGATTCAAATTTATTTTAAAAATCTTATTTTTTTTTACTTCTCCTTTCCCTCCCATCTTCCCTCCAACCCCAAATCTTCCTATCGCCACAGCCACCTCCATCTGAAAACACATTTCCATGATTGCAGAAACACTGACCCTGAAGTGACTCCACCAGAAAATGAAATATTTCACTTACCAAAATAGGTCACATGGGCATACCTAGTTTCAGTGTCAGAGAATGTAATTCTTCCCTATGCCTAGGACCAAAAGGAGTACAAGAAAAATTGGTGGGTGTGGAAAAGGCTTTCAGTAGTTATGAAATGTTATGAAAATGTTTTAAGATTAGCCTAATGAGGTCCATAATGTTTCCAGTTCATCATAAACGAAGGTTGAAAGTAATTAAAGCTTTAATCTTGATCTTGTGATTCAAAGTTATGGACTTTAAGTAGTTTCACTGTTACTCAATATTTGCATCATTGTGCAGGCAACTGTAAAGGCTGGTCGTTTAGAGATAGAAATGATTCATGAAATTGTTTAACCTAAGTTATTGCCTAAAGTCTAAAATCCAGAGGTAAATGACTTGCTTTGATCAATATTGTGAAAATATTTATAAGCAACTTTTTGTGATATTGTAATCCAAATAAGCCACATTTTTCCATCTCATATGCAAGGATTCACTGAGAGGACTATATAATGCTCTGAGGGAATAAATACTAATGTATGCCCATAATAGACAAATGAAATAGAACCAGATATTCAGAATTTTACTTAATTTTAGCTGTTTGCTCTAATGATTAGAAAACTAAAGGAGTATTTAATCAAGCATGGATTCTAAAAATCACTTTAATTTTACTACCTACGAATTTAATTATAATACCTTTGCGTGCTATACTATCAGGAAGCCTTGATTAACCCAGATTTGTTCCTTGATGTTACTACTACAGTAGAGGTCCTCTTCAGGATGCTTCTTCATGGATGGTTTCTCCAATAGCTCATTTCAAACATTTTATTTTTAAATTATAGTTTCCAGTTAATTTCTAAATTTGACATATTCTGAAAGTAAGTTTTTGGATCCATCTTGGTGGCTTACATCTTAAAACAATTGGCGCATAGAATACAGTGTATGAGAGACCAAATATACCTGTTTGTCAGGTGTAAAGAATCTTTCAAAGGGCATGCAGATCGGAACTGAAAGGTATAAATGAGCACACAGCTGTCTACGTGAGTCCTTTATTCCTGTAAAACTTCCAAATGGTGAATAAAATCTACCATTCATTTCTTAATTTATAGATTGTCATCAGATATATTAATGGCCAGCCTTCATGTCACAGCTGTTATTAATTTAAAACAGAAAGAAAAATTCCCAGAAGGCAGGGCAAGTTGAAACTTGCCTTCAGTTAGAAAGATCACGGTCACAGGTGTGCTTTTTTTTTTTTCAAAAAAAACCCAGAATAGCAACCATAGAAGTTAAAAAAAAGTCCTGATGCCTAAGGTCAGGCTGTGAGGAGGGCAAGGCAAGCTGCAGGCCCCGTCCAGCGAGTTTCCCTTTGCATTTCCGCGGCTGAGCCAGGTGTCCTTCCCTGTCCCCACCTGTCCAGCTGGGACGCGCCAGGCTTCCTCCAGTGACGCCCTAGCGGTGGGAAGGGGAACGCTCCGCCCGGGGTCCCTCCCGTCGGGCCTCTCGGCCAGGCCCCCAGATCCCGAAGCCCCGAGGGAAGGGAATTCCGACTCGCCGCGCGCACTCTCCCGCCTCGTTCCTCTTCGGTTCGCTGCCTCGCTAGCTCCGATGCCGCCGAGCGCGTCCTCACTTCTGGGCGCCCGGGCGACGGAGTCGGCTGCGAGTTCGCGGGCTCCGGAGGGAAATGGGGCAGGGTGAGTGAGGGAGGGAGGGACCCCGCTTTCTCCAGCCTTCAAGTCCCGGCTTGAGAGCCAGGCGGCGAGCGGTCTCGGGGGGAGGGGGGAGAGGAAGCTGCTGGAGAACAGGCTAGCCACTGTGTCCTCTCGAGAACGAAGGCGCCCTGGGTGGGAAAAGAGATTTGCCCTCCCGAATTCTCTCCGGGAAAAGTTTTCCCAGGGCGTTCCGTCGTGCAAACTCGGCCGCTGGAGCCCGGGGCCGCCCCGTCCCCGGGGGCGGGGACCGCAGCGCCGCCTCCCGCGGGACCGGGCGCTCGCGGCGGCGCCCGCAGGCTCTCGGCCGCCCCGCAGGTGAGAGCGCTCCGGGAGGCGGGCCCGCCCCGGGCTGCAGTGGGTCAGGCGGCCAGCCCAGCTCCGGCCTGGGGAGGCGCGCGTCCCGCCCTGACCCGCAGTCCTCTCCCACCCCAGCAGTGACGCGCCGCCTCGGAGCTGGAGCCCGAGCAGCTCCCCGCCGGGCGATGGAGCGCCGAGATCCCAGCGCGCACGACGCCGCGGCGCCCCCGCCGCTCGCCGCCGCCCCGGCCGGGTAAGTCTGCCGCGCCGCCCGCCCGCCGGCTCTCCCCGGGAAGGGCCACAACTCCTGGCTGCCCGCAACCCCTGGCCGCCCGACACGCGGCCCGGAAGGCTGCCCCCGGCCGGCCTTCTCGGAGGCAGCCCTGGGTGAGGGCTTGGGGAGCTTCTCGCTGCTCTCCTACTGGAGCTGCCCAGGGTTGTGGAAGGCCAGCTGAATGCTAGGAATTGGGTGAGGAGTCCGGGAGCAAAAATGGTAACAAAGGGCCCCTTGTTGGGGCTGTGAATCAGCGGTGGACGATACCTGTAAGAGAGCCCTGGGAAAGGAAAGTTTCCTTGGCCGTGGGCTGAGGCCCAAGCAGGGAGCAGTGGCAAGGTGACTGTTCATTCGGAAGGGGCTTTCTGAAAGCAGGTGGGGGGCAGCAGGAGGATGTGCCAGCTGTCACCCGCAGGACAGTTCCGGGAGCGGGCGGGGGCTCGCCTGGCGTCGGGGGTTCGCCTGGCGTCGGGGGTGTGTGTGCCTGCGGCCAATTGTCCACGCCAAAGCCCAGCGCAAAGTCTGATTGCAGACAGCTCTCCTCTCCTGTCCTCACGTGTTTGAGGAGGGATTGGAGGGGAAGGGGCTGTCACACGGTGAGTTAATATTAAATGAAGCGAGTCCTCCTGCCAGATATGCTAATAGTCACCCTGCTAAGCTTTTGGGTAAACAGGAATGAGAACAGGTAGTTCTGCAAGAGATGAGAAAAACCTGGAAATGACCTTGGCCTTGGTAAGTAGTTCAGGAGTAACGTGTGCTGGTTGAACAGCTGAAGTGTGCTGCCTCGTTGCTGTAGTATGACTTTTTCCTACAAGTGTTTCCTTCACTCAGAGTTTCGTTTCTTTCTTAATTTGAACACAAAAGTGCCGAAAGAGAAAATCGACTTTGTAACTAATGAGTGAGAGTTGTACAGTTTTTTTGATTTAAGTGAAGTCAGTTTTTCCCTGGAACATGACAAGCGTTTCCGTAGAGCAAGTCACAGCATGTTTATTCATCAGAGACCATTGGCAGTTGTCTAGAGGGAACATAGAAAAGTCTCAAAGCAACATGACTCATCTAAAAGACATTTAGTGTAATCCATATGTAGAGGAAACTAATGTAGAGTGTGAACTCTACTTTTGTTCCAGTTTACTATCTTCACCCTCTTGAAAATAACCATTGCTATTGATTTCTTTTTTCCCCAGGTTTTTCATGTTTAGATGCATCCTTCCATATGTTCAAATATTAGGATGCATGACTAAACAAATACATTGATAGACTGAGCATAAAAGCAAGGTCTCAGAATGAAGCTGAGATTTATATAATACTGAATCCAGGGACCACAAAATAAGATAGAATTGCATTGGCACATTTGGAAATGGATTAAGCTAAGGTTCCATTAAAATACCCACTTACATAGAATATACTCACAGATGTTCAGAAATCAATGATACTTTTCATTAAATGAGTTTAGGTGGCTTTGTGTTGAAGGAATGAAAAGAGCTTTCTAGTGACAAGCATGCCTATAGTCAGTACTTCAGATTTTACTTTTTGATAATTTAAGAGTTACACTGGTAATTCTTTGCCTTAAGAGCATACACCTCTAACTTCTCAAATGTGAAGAGAATGTTTTTATAGGACATTTGCCCTCCCCTCTAAACTTAACAACATCGAGAAAAATATTTTAACATCCCACTCTGTCCTTTTACTTAGATTATTTGAAAAATTGTCACTACTATTTTTTTTTTGGTACAGGGATGGAACTCAGAACTTAGGACCTTGCGCTTGTGAGGCATGCGAGGCGCCACTGAGCTAAATCCCTGGCCCCAGTTGTCACTACTTTTTATGTTTACTAAACATAAAATATTTATCTCCTTTATCTGTTTCCTTCCAAGTGTCTATCTTCTTCCCCTTGCCCCTGAGCATATTCCAAGTGCCTGTGGTATATTTGTGGAGTATTCAGTATTGCTTTTGTTCTTTCTAAAGAACCTACAGTATTAAAAACGTTTAAACTGTGGCAAAGTTTTCCCTAACTAAGAATATTTGGGAGGTGGCAGAGAGCTGTCCTAATGTGATATAATTGTTGGGTTTTGGAGATAAATCCCATGCTATAAGACTAATTATATCATGACTCATTCTAATAGCCAGTGAGGCCTACTTTAGTCTTTATCCTTGTATATCACTGTTGAAAAGAAGTCCTCTATAATTTTCCAAGGTTTACATTGTTGTAACAGGTCATTTTAAAGAAATTTAGTGCAACTCTGTATTTTACAAATGAGAATTGAAGGCCAGAGACACTTTGCTGAAGTCCCAGAGCAAAGTAGTGGCAAAATCTGGAAGAACACCTAGGACTTTGGTTGTCTAATTTATTGTTTTAATAGATTTTAATGTTCTTTATTTTGGTGTGATATAAAAATCTACATTCCAACAAGTCACATGTTGAATCATTATCTCATTGGTATGGCTTCATGTGATTTGTGTCAAAGGCTCATATTGCTGGCGCTTGCAGTGTAATAGTACCTTTAAGAGATGATCAGGTCTTTAAGAGGGATTAATGCTTCTGTAGTGGGAGTGGGTTGGCTACCCGGAGAGTGGGTAATTCTAATGTGAGCTTGGCTTTTTCTGCTTTCTGTCTTGCTTTACATTTGTTCCTGCCATCATACCCACCAACATAATATGATGCAACCAGAAGGGCCTCAGTAGGGGTCAAATTGATAGACCTGCCAGATATTGGCCTTGCAGTCTCTGAAAGTGAGTTACATAAATCTTTTCTTTCTAATGCACTCACTCACAGGTATTGTATTTTAGAAAGTGAACTAAAAACAGAATGGTAATAAAAAAATGCATTTCAGGTAAAATTGTTTGATATCTTTCTTCCTCTCCACTTGTATTTAGGGCATGAACAATCATTTTAGTAAAAAATAATTATTTTTTGGCCCCTCAGCTGCAGCCTTTTCTTTTTTCTGTTTTCTTTTTTTCAGTACCGGGGATTGAACTTGGGATCTTGTGCTTGTGAGACAGGCAGCAGAACCACTGAGCTAAATCCCGGCCCAAGCTGCAGCCTTTTCTTTGAAACACTAAATAATTGTAACATTGCAAGAAATAGCTTGTTTAAAAACTTTGCATTTTAACTCACAAAAAATCCATCATAGTTTATTTGAATTAGATTAGTTCCCTTTCTTAATATTATGCAAAAGCACCCTTGTGTATTTTTTGTTATATATTCCAAGTGATTGATATTAGAAAAGAGGATAAAAGTTTAGACTTCAAAAGCTATTGAATCACAGTTTCAGATTTCTCTTGAGATTAAAGTTAGCATGCAACTCGGCATAGATGTGCTGTTAAAGAAAATGTTAACAGACCATTGATTTGGACTAAAGTTCCTGCACTGGGATGGACAGAGCGAACCAATATAAAATTTAATCACAGTAACTGAGTTTGTTTAGTTATAGAAGGCCCTGAAGTCAATAATTGATTAAGCTGTAAACCATTAACTAGTTAACCTGCAACCAGTTGATTAGTTGATTAAGCAATAGATTTTCAATGTCTCACTTTTTTCTATAAATGCTGTCAAATCACACTGTTGCTTAGAGTTCGCAGCACCTGCTCTGGTTTTGGGAAATGCCCAACTCCAATTATTTCTGTTTTACTTTGCTCAAAAAAATGTACTAAATTTAATTAGTCTAAACAATTTTCCTTCTAGTAGTATTCATATATAACACCTGCCTTCATATATGATATGTAGTCACTTATATATATTCGGTGCATTTGTGTGTATGTCTTCCTAATATGTTTTTACATATATGAAAGTTTAATTTGCAGAATGACTTAGATGAAAACTATAATCACTTATTTTATATTGGTTTCCTACGAAGTGGAAATACTGGGTTTGTATGTGTGTTTTGGTTTGTTTCGAAGACAGCAACACCATTGGAGACACTGGTTGGAAAAATTATGTTTTGGAGGTGAAGGTGGTAGCCAAAAGTATTCCCCTCCTTTTTTTTTGTATTGAGGATTAAATCTAGAGCCTTCACACTGAGTTACATCCCCAGCCTTTAAAAAAAAATTTTTGCATTTGAGATCGGGTCTCACTAAATCACCAAGTTGCCCAGGCTGATCTTGAACTTTTTGCCCCCTTCCTCAGCCTCTCCTAGTGCTGTTATTACAGGTGTGGGCTACCATGTCTGGCTAGTATCTCCGTTTCTACTGTAGGTGTCTGATGACTAATTCCCTTTTATCAGCAATTTTATTTTTTGTTGTTTCAGTTACCTGTGGTCTACCATAGTCCAAAAATATCATGTGGAACATTCTAGAAAGTATAAGTGCTAACATTCCCTATAATAGTCTTAAGTAGCATGATGAAATCTCACATCATCCTGTTTCAGGATTGTCCTACATAGTCCAGAGCATGAACTGTCCCTTTGTCCAGCAAATCCATGGTGTATATGCTACCTACAAATTAGTATCAGATTGGCTGACTGGTATCACAGTGCCTGAGGTTCAAGTAACGTTTATTTTATTTAATAGTGGCCGCAAAGTCCAAGAGTAGTGATGTTGGTTGAAAATTCAGATATGCCAAAGAGAGGCTATAAAGTGCTTCTTTGAAGTGAAAATATAGTAAGATATTGAAAAAGTACATTCATGTAACTTTTTTTACAGTAATCTATATTATTATTGCTAATCTCTTACTGCACTCAATTTATAAATTAAACTTTATTTTAGGTATAGGAAAACGTATATATAGGATTCAGTACTGTGCACCTCATGTTTGACCGCTGGTTTTAGAATGTATTCCTGTAGGTCAGAGGGTATTTACTGTTGTGAAGTTGTCCAAGTTCTATATCTTTTTTTTTTTTTAAGAGGCATGAGAAAGATTTATTAGAAGAAGATAGAGGATGCACTTCAGTGGAGTGCAGTATGCAAAGAAATGAGGTACAATACAGGTGGGAAGTTGGGATCTTTTATGTTTTTCAGGAGGTGGAAATCTGTGGAATTTGGTA